TGTATTTAGACCTCTATAAATGCCCTTTGCCTCCTAGTTCTTTCCTCTATTTCCTTTTACTTTCCTCTTGTCCCACTATCATGCTTAGCCTTCATTTGGGTTTCAGTGATTCAGTTACATTGACCTTGATCAAGCCCTACCAGGCCTCCCTACACCCTCCTCACCATCAATTTTTAGATCACTTGTTGTTCCCTTGTCCTTGAGTTTGTTAACACCCACTTCCTTTCCCTCGCCTCCCCTCTCCCATGTCCCCCCAGAAGCATCGGTCCTCTTGTTTTCTCCTACAGATTGTTTATCCCACCTATCTTATCTAGAGAGACCTGCAGAGAGAATAATATACACAAAAACAAGAAGAGCAAAACAAAGCAACAAAAGAACAACAACAAAAAAAGAAAAGAAAAGCCTATAAATAGTTCAAGGTCTGTTTGTTGAACTTTAAGAGTGTTTTCTGAGATGTTGGACAGGGCAAGATATGACAAAATAACAATTTATAAATTATCAGGGCTCATGAGGGAGTGGGGAGCGGGGAGGGAGGGGAAAAATGAGGACCTAATGCCAGGGGCTAAAGTGGAGAGGAAATGTTTTGAGAATGGTGAGGGCAATGAATGTTCAAATGTGCTTTACACAATTGATGTATGTATGGATTGTGATATGAATTGTATGAGCCCCTAATAAAATGATTAAAAAGAAAAAAAAAAGAGGGTTTTCTGGTTGAGTATGATGGGGCGCCTTGCCCTGGCCTGAAAGTCTACTTTTGGTATTCCCTGAAGACATCATTGCTCTGCTCCCCTTGCTGTTCTGTTGCATGCCCTCAGATCAGGTGAAATTCCTGCACCGTGTCTCCAGCGTTGTCCCCCGTAGCACTATGGGTTAGTGAGGAGCATCGTGTCTTGGGGTGCGGCCAGCCCTGTGGTCTTCTCTGTGCATTGGCTGCTTTGAGCAGGAATATCGTCCTCAGGGTTGGTGGGCCAGGATGTGCTCCATTCTGTCTCCCTCCTCTTTCATTTGCTCCTGTGTGCTCTGATCAGACAAGTCCCTCTCCCTGAGCTGTAGCTTCAGTGCTGTCCTCTAAAGTGAATTCTTCTGGGGAGGAAGGGGGCTGTCCACGTAGTTGGGATTGGGGCCGGCCCCTCAGACTGGAGGAAGGCTTATTAATATGCAGATGACAGAACCTTGAATGCTGAGACTGAGGAAAAATGAAAGCCCTTGCTGATGAAAGTCAAGAATTGCAGCCTTCAATATGGATTACAATTTAATGTGAACAAAATCCAAATTCTCACAACTAGCCCAACAGGTAACATCATGATAAACAGAAAAGGTTGAAGTTGTCAAGGATTTTGTCTGGCTTGGATCCACAATTAATGCTCATGGAAACAGCAGTCAAGAGATCAAAGGACACATTGCATTGGGCAAATCTGCTGGACATGACCTCTTTAAAGTGTTGACAAACAAGGATGGCACTTGGAGCACTCAGGAGCACCTGGTACAAGGCCTAGTATTTTTCAATTGCTTTGTATGCTTGTGAAAGGTGGACATTCCATAAGGAAGACTGGAGAAGAATCTCAGTATGCTAGAGGAGGATGTAGCACACGGGTTCCCATCAGGCAGCTAACAACACCTTCTATCTTCTTTCCTCGATACACACCACCCTGACACACTCAGAACCTCATTTCCTCATTTGAACCTTGCCAGAAAGTTGAACATTGAGTATAAATAAATTTAAACTGTTTTAATCATTAAAGCAAGGAATAAGTATAGCAGCTGTGAGTTTTCCTATTTTCTGAAGAACATCGCTCTGATGTTCAATTTCCTTTTCTATGCTTTTTAAAGCATCTTCTCTCTTTTCTTTACCTGTGGAAATCAATAATGATGATACCTTGCTTACTTCAATACTCCTGTGTTTCTTACATTCTCTATCTAGTATAAGAAGGGGTAGGAGGAAAAGTTGCAAATGTAGAAAACTGAGCCAAGAATACCTAAGTACCTGAAGTCCAATAAAATCCATCTAAGTTATCTAAGTACAAATCCGACAAAAAGCCAAAAATCAACAAAGGCATGAGAATTAGACAGATGCCCAGGTACTTACACTTATAATATTTTTATATTCTTAAAAATCCAACACCCTTGGCAAAAATCCCTCTTCACCTTTGAATGTTTGTACATCTCGCATTTAATATATTGAGTTCTCAAATGACTTTCTCATTTTGGCACTCACAATTTTAATTTCTGCCCCCATATTTATCTTTGCTAGCCAGCGGGCATCTCTGTTTTCGTCTATAATTTCTTTATTCTTTCTGTAACCTCTGGTCCTAGTCTTCAAATTCCTGTGTTACTTCTTTCGTCTTTTGGAAGACAGAAGATCTAGAAGTTCCTGCTTTAAGTCCTGTAGAGACTCCTTGGATAGTCATCCTCCAATTTCCCAGATGCTGAGCAAGGCTCAAACCTTTCTGATGATTCTAGATATGTGGACTGTGGGTCTTGGGTACAGACAAGAATTGAATAGTCTCATTTTTCTGGAGGGTGATTGATTTACTCAAAAGGTCTTCTAGAGGAAATCATTGTTTTTATATCAAACATACATATAGTTATGCTATGTAATAAAACACAAAATATGCACATTTTCAGAGACATAGCAACCCCTCTACTAAAGCCCCCAGCTCTGAGATAAGTTCTTACCTGCTTTGGCATTAGTGGTAGGCTAATGAAAAAAACTTCAGGGAGTATTTACTTAATGAGTGATTAAACTCATGATTGGAAATAAAATATAATTTGAAAATTCACAGTAAGAAATTTTTGAAAAATGAAAGCTTCATATGGTAGCAGGTAAAAGAGTTCATTTGCTCTGCCTTTACCCAATATGGAGAGAAAGAAGGTAAAGTTGTTGATCCACTCACACCTTAAACAGATATTTTACAAGAGGGGGGTAAAAAAGTTGACAATGACAATAATAAGATGGTATCATAGAAGAGATGAAATTAATATGCGATGAAAATATTAAAGCATGCAAGGTGACAGGCAGTGGGAAAATTTAGATGAATTTCACCTTTGGCTAGCGGAGTGATGGCCAGCTTTGGATCAGAAGGCAGCCGGGAAATCCTCACTTGGGATTTAAATCAATTACTAGTGATGTCATAAACCCCAAACCAACCTCACTGACATCCAGTTGATACTGACTCAAGCGACCCTACAGGGCAAGGTGGAAATGCCCCCATGAGTTCCCAAGACTGTAACTGTAACACACTGCAAAGCCCCAGTCTGCCTCTCACGGAGCTGCTAAGTGGTTTTGAACTGCTTGCCTTGCAGGTCGCAGCTGGATTTGTAACCAATCTGCCACTCGGGCTCCTTAGTTACTTAATACATACCTGTAATAATATTGACAAGTTCTTGAAACCTTTTGTATTTTACCAAATACATTTCTTCCGCCACATAAAGTTGTGGACGGTACTCAATTTCTAGCTCGTCTTCCTTTTCTTTGTTGATTTGCGCTTCCTTAACAAATTGATCCTTTAAAGAAAATACAATTGTGAGGGGCTTTGTTGTTTTTGTTTTGAATTTACAAAACAATGTGCAGAGGAACAAAGTTATTTCAGGGGCAAGCACGCTCGATCTTTTTCTCCTATCCTGAGGTGTATAGAAAGATATCCGGCACATCAACAAAACATCTAGTGGGTGCGGGGTTGATTCTGATTCATGGCAAGTCCATGGGTATCAGGGTATCAAGTCCATCGTGTTCTTGGTTTTATGGAAGTGGCTTGGCGGGCCTTTCTTGCAAAACACCTGTGTGTACTTGAACTGCCAGTCTTTGGGTTCATAGTCAACCACTTAGCCATTTGCATCACTCAAGGGCTTCATCTGGCACATACTAGGTGGCTCATACATATGTACTGGCTGCCTCAATAATTCACTAACAGTCTGTAAGCAAGGAGATTAGGCTTACTTGACTCACCAAAGATCCTGTCATCTCTATATAATTCCACAATTATTATGTTACTAATGCTACTATATATTGTAGACCCCAAAACCTATTTGAGAGAATTGCCTTTGGTTGATCCTATGTGATATAAAAAAAAAAACAGGATGGAAAACGGAATATGCACAAGTTCTAAGAGATACAGGTGCAAGTAAGGGATACAGGTGCAAATAAGAAATAAGAAGGGTAGAAACAATTGGGCATAATGTCACAATAAAGGAGTAAAAAGTACCTAAAGCAAAACAGGCAGGTGTCTGCATACTTTATCAGTTCAAGTCTTATTCCGTTTCAAGTGGAATAGTTAGACATCAGGACGTGTTCTACAAAGTGACTCCAACAGAGTCACTGTCCGATAGTCCACGTCCATGGTCCCTTTTTTCATGCTAGAATTCCTGGGTTTAGCCGAGGGCATGGCTGCCGGCTAGAGGTTTCCTTCTCGGCCTCCCTGGCAGCTGGGAGGACCCAGTGCATTTATGAACATAAGTGGTGGGTGCCGTGGTGGGTGCTGCCCTGCAGCAGGAATGGATATGGGCTCCCTTTGCCCCTTCCTCCCTCTCCTCACTGGCAGAGGATGAGAAAACAAGCTACCACTTGGTCCCCAAGATGACAGCTATAATCTGAGGATGACAGAGCCACCTGCCAGCTATGGACCACTTCTCCTGGAAAGAGAAACCAATATCTCTCTTGCGTAACATGCACTTTTGGAACTTTCTCAACTAAATAGGCAGGCTCACAAGACTTGTGTAGGCCACACTTAACCCAGTTAGCTCTTGGAAATTTTTCATTTTATCCAAGTTATATACACTCATAATTTAAAGACGTGCTAATAAGGCAGGATCATGGAACAATGCTCCAACAGGAGGAGTCTGGAAGGCATTAACACAGCAGACAAAGACTAGGTCTCTTTACTCCACTCAGATGCACAAGAAAGAGACCTCCACGGAGAGTGTGATAGTCTCCCTGATTCTGAAGCCTTGGCACAAATCGAAATCAATACCTCTTGAGCACATCTTCCAGGTGGCTGCAAAGGTTACATCCTCTGAAAAGGGCCACTACCAATGCAGTGATTACGTGTTGGACTGAAAATTGCAAGGTACACAGTTTGAAACCATCAGCTACTCCATGGGATAAAGATGGGGCTTCTATTCCCACAAAGAGTTACACTCTTACTAAGCAAGCAATCATCTAGTTGAAAAGCAACAAAGCCCACATGGAAGAAGCACACCAGCCTGTGTGATCATGAGTTGTGAATGGGATCAGTTATCAGGCATCAGAAGGCCCTAAACAAATAAATATATCCGTGCAAATGGTGGAGGTCAGAGTGGAGACCCAAAGCCCATCTGTAGGTGATTGGACATTCCCTCACAGAAGGGTCAAATGGAAGGAATGAGTCAGCCAGGGTGCAGTATAGCACTGACGGAATACTCAACATTCCTCTAGTTCTTTAATGCTTCCTCCCCACCACTATGATGACCCCAGTTCTAGCTTACAAATCCGGCTAGATCAGAGCATATACATTGGTACAGGTACAAGCTCTCAACACATGGGATCCAGAACAGATAATCCTTGCAGGAACAATCATGAGAGTAGCAATACCATGAAGGTGGGGGGGAGAAGTGGGAGCAACAGGGAACTGACTACAATGATCGATGTATTAAACGCACCCGTACCACCCCAGGGACCGTACAACAGAAACATGGGCAAAGGGAGACAGCGAACTGTGTAAGATATGAAAATAATAATAATTTATAATTTATTGGGGGCCCACGGGGAAGGGAGGGAAAAAAGAGGAGCTGATATCAAGGGCTCAAGCAGAAAGAAAATGTTTTGAAAATGATGATGGCAACGTATGTACAAATGTGTCTGTCTGATGCAATTGATGGATGGATTGTTATAGGAGCTGTAAGAGTCCCTAATAAAATGATTTCTTAATTAAAAAAAAAAGAGTTATAGTCTCAGAAACTCATAAGAGCAGTTCTACCCTGTCCTGCAGGCTCAGGATGGGTTGGCACCGACTTGATGGCAGTTCTTGTCTTTTCTTCTTATTCTCCCAGTGGAGACGCATTCACCAGTCAGGGGTCATTGTGACAATGGCAAGACAGCAACGTTGCCTAATAATACAGCTGGCCTCTGACCCAATCCACTGCCATTGAGTCAAGTCTGACTATAGTGTCCTACAGAGGGTTTCTGAGGCTGTAAATCTTTTCTTTGTTTTTTCAGATCCTGTTCATTTATTAAATTAAACCAAAGAATGTTAAGATAATTCACACTATCAGCTGGAGAAAAAAAATATGGGTTTAGGCTTGCATGTTTCTTGGGTTCTATACATGCTGATTTTGCCAGAGAAATGCTAGGATCGATAACAAGAGTGGGATTTAGTTGGGAAACTACTTCAGTCGTCACCATTTGGCAGTAGGATGTATTCATTCATTCTTAGGCACTGTTCTAGACCCTTGTGCTCGTTAGGTGCCGCCCAGTTGGCTCCAACTCGTAATGACCCCAGGTACAACAGAATGAAACAGCCCAGGCCTGGTCGTCCTCGCAGTGGTTGGGCTTGAGCCCATTGCCGCAGCCACTGTGTCTCTCTCCTTTCTGATCGTCCTCTGTTTCATTGACCCTCTACTTACTAAGCATGAGGTCCTTTTCCATGGACTAACCTCTCCTGATAGCATGTCCAAAACACAGGAGACAGAGTTTTGACACCCTCTCTTAGAAGGATCACTCAGGCAGAAGAGGCTGTAAATCTATCTGAGAGCAGAGAACCTCATCTTTCTCCCTTGAAGTTGTTGGTAGGTTTGAAGTGCTGACCTTGTGGTTAGCAGTCTCACACTTAGCCGACACTGCCACCAGATTTCCTTAATATAGCTGATAGTTCACTTTTATCATGCGTCTAGGTGGCACAACCATAGAGTTCATCCAAGGTGTGTCCTCAAGTCAATACAGGTCATAGTGACCTTACAGGACAGAGGAGAACTAGGCCAGGGCTTTTAGAAGACGGAACATTGTATGGAAGAAGACTGCCACTTCTTTCTCCTCCTGAGCAACTGGTGGGTTCAAGGGATCAACGTTGTGGTTAAGAGCTGAGCAATTAACCACTACACTACCAGGGCTCCTTTTGTAAGGATTACAACCTCAGAAATCGTATGGGGCCATTATGAGTTGGAATCAACTGGACAGCAACAGGTTTGGGGTTTGTAAATCAGGTACATTGAAAGATTCTGAATGATACTATAATCTGAATCTTACTGGAAGATTTGTTTTACAATGAACTAATTAGAATAGCTTCAAGTATTAGTAATTTCCCCTCCCAGCACACAGCCATTTAAAATTACTCCTGGATGTAAACAAAGCTTACCTCATAAATGTTGATCTCTTCAATTAACTGCTTTTCTTTGCTAATGAATTCCTCCTCCTCTTGTTTCAATTCCTCTGTAAGTTTTTCAATCTGTACCACAAATTCATCAATCTCTTTTTGTCTCGTGTTGGTCTAATAAGAGGGAAAATGAGGAACTGTCATTTCTCTTGTAGAGTTCCACTTTATAGTTCCACCTTTAGATTTGCATGAGACATGTCTCTGAATTCAAATTATATTTTCTCAGAAGCCACTGAGAGGAATTTTTTTCTCCATAGATTAAATTGCTCATCAAATTATATCTGTAAATATGGCATGATTGATGGGCGAAGTGGAGGAGGAATAAGGCAGAGCATAACTACAGGAGGTTGGGCTCACATTCTTAGAGATATGTTTTTTATAAAGACTAACCTTAAATAAGTTTCTGGTTGCATGTTTCAAACGCATACTCTGAAGAAAATTGCTCTTTCACCTGCTAAATGCCCATAGTTAATATACAGAAAATAGATGCATGTCTTAAGGAAGTTAAATAATTCTCTCTAAATAGGAAGTCAGCAGAAAAGAAAACACTTCTTATAAGATAATGTTTAATGAAAAATCAAAGGAGAATTACTGTACTGCAATGTCAGGGACTCAGTCTGAGTTCCCTTGTGTTCCCCTCACCTCTTCATACAATTGTATTTTTCTCATTTGAGTCCACTCGATTTTATCCCTAATTTCTTGCATCTGAGTCTTTGTGTTCTTCTTCCAACGGGAATGCGTTTTTAGCATACAAGCAATTTTCCACTGAGTTATAATTCTTGAGAATAGAACAAAATAAACATTATTAAATTGACATAGTGGTTTACTGAAATGGTTAAGGGATTCAAAGTAAAACAGGTCCTACTATGATTATGCAAAATTTCTTTGTGCTCTTAGAGATGCAGGCTATGCACATTAACTGAAAACACAAATCAGACAGAATATTCACTGCCTCAATACTATCACTATCAATTGCCTCAGAGTAAGAAGTGAGTCTCTACATCCAATAAAGCTGAATAGACAAACCACACTGGGCAGCTCTCCTCATTTAAGCAAAGGACTGACTTAGGGAAGGCTTAGCGGTACATGGAATAAGAAGATGTCCAGGCAAAAATAATAACCAAGTTACTCTTAGTATTAATAAAAGATTCCAATCTTCTGGGTTCTTGAACTTTTCTCTGTACCACCACCACCACCACAACAACAAAGATTAAATAACTGGAGAATAGTAAAATACATGCTCATTTGAGATTGGTAAAAAATTGCCATTGGAGTCTCGTCAGTAATGACAATGGCTGTTTTTTTTTAATGCTGCTAACTTTTAGTAAGCTTTTTTCTAGTTGCTGTCACTGATAGAAATACTTTATCTGAGTCATATTTCCTTTGCTATTACCAGCAACCTTAGACGATGGGTACTGCTATCACTTCCACCACTTCTTTGTCAGTTTGGTTTACTGTGGTGATGTTGGAAGCTGTACCACCATTATTTCAAATAGAACAGACGACAAAGAAGAAATAGGTTGTCCACTTCTAAGAGATTAGCCACCAAAAACCTTATGAATAACAGGAAATCGTTGTCAGATATTGGGCCAAAAGACAAGCCTCTTGTAGAGCTGCTTCCTCGAAGTAGCGTCAACCATAATGGTGTGGATGGAGTAGAGCTTGTGGGACCTTCCTTTACCTTCATGACTCAAAATGGGAATCAATAACTGTAAATATCCATCAGTAGTCAAAATATGGACTATACAAAATATAAAACCAGGAAACTCAAGTGTGCAGGTGGTTTTCTTGTTTCAATAAAGGTGAAATGTCGATTGATGACAAGTCCCATACTGGACATTCATCAACTTCCCCAACCGACGAAACTGTCGACAAAATTCATGCACTTGTGCTCAAAGACTGACTTCGGACCATTGAAGAGAGGGGGAAGTTGTCTGGACTGTCTTAGAGCTCGGTTCAGCAGATTTTAATAGAAGATTTGTGAATGAGAAGGGTCGCTTTGAAATTTGTGCCTCTGGTTCTGACTGACCAGGAAAAAGGGTGGAAAACGTGCCATGCTTTGAAAGAACAGATCCGAAGCAACCCAGACCTTTTCCCTAAGGTCATTAGTGGTGATGAGACGCAGTGCGATTCTTATGACCCCAAAGCAAATATCCGTCAAGCCAATGGAAGACGCCATCGTCACCTTGTCCAATAAAAAGCTAATCAAGTGAAATCAAAGATCAAGACGATGATTTTTTTTAATATGAGGGGGATAGTGCATTTGGAGTTTGTTCCACCAGGTCAGACTGTTAATCAAGCTTTCTATTTAGAGGTTCTGAAATGATTGCATAATAGTGTGAGACAAAAAAAAGTCTGGTTTATGGCAGACGGGGGACTGGTTTTGCCACCACGACAACGCACCTGCTCACGCAGCCATCTCAGGGCACCAGTTTTTGGCAAAAAACAGCATGATTCTCTTGCCCCATGCACCTGACTCACCTGACCTTGCTCTGTGCGACTTCTTTTTGTTTCTGCGAAGGCAGAGGGACATGAAAAGACAGCGATTTGACATCTTAGAAGAGGTGAAGAAAAAAACGAGGGAGGTGCTAACAGCCATCCAAACAGATGAGTTTGAAAAATGTTTCCAAGAATGGAATCACAGATTTGACAAATGTCTTAAGTGCAGTGGAGAGTACTTTGAAGGTGATAAGATTGTTTTACTAAAAAATATTAAATATGTAGCTTTGAAAATAAAATTCCAGTTTTGGAGGGTATATGCCCTTGTATTTAACCATTCTCTCTGTCACTATATCACACATAAAGCTGCCCCATTAGTTCACATCTAAGCCTGGATGAGCCAGAGCATCTCTAAATGTTCAAAATTGTCTTCTTTGGGGGTTTCTTGGAATTAATATGGAAAAATTTGGTTTAGTTCAATGCCAAAACATCAAACTAATAAGCACATGTAAACCCAAGAGGACTCACACAATTTATTTTAGGAAAATAATTTATTTAGATACTCATAACTCATTCTTTTTCAACCCCACATTTGAGGTACTATTCATTAAGACATATTACTCATAGCACTTTTTCCCCCTTACCTTCTCTGATTTTCTCTTTCTATATTATCGCCCATGACTTTTATTTGTTTCCGATAGACTTCTTGCATTGCTCTAGAAACAAGAAAAAATATATTCAAATTTTGCATTTGTAGGAGCTGTTAGAATATATAAAAGACCCTGTAGGTATAATTCTCCTGCTCAATAAAGCTGCAGTCCAGTTGGAAAACAAAACAAACCTTGTGAAATAACTAAGTACTTAATGTCAGGCTAAGAGAGACTGTTATAATTCTGTATAGGTACAAGTTGATCCCCCAAACATCAAGGTGGATATCCCAGGATAGAGAACAGGTTTGGTGGAGGCAACTGTGGACGGCTTCTGTAGGTGAATGGTTTAATTGGAGGGAGAAAGGTGGGTTGCAGAATACAGGAGCAATCTCAGTAAGAAGAGAACAGAATCATTTCTAAAGACATGGTGGTGGTATGGCACCAGGTAGGCTTCTACATATAGAAGACGTGAAGGGGAAAGCCAACCCCATGCTACTGATGGTATCACAGTCAGCAAGTTGTTGAGGGACTCGCACTTCTAGATTGAGCTCTGATTCCACACAATAGATCATTCAAAAAGCCAAGATAGATTCTTGAACGAGGGGAGAGCAAAGGTTTTCTTGCCAGAGAATGAATGGAAAGATGTGAAGATTCTAACAGAAGCAGTGGAGACACTTGTTATCTGCCCTTCCTTTTATTTTCTCTGTTAAAGAAATAAGTGCTTAAATAAGCTTTAAGCACAGAAATATGTGAAATGCTACTTATTAATGATTTTCAAAAGACAGAAATATGCATAGAAGAAATTTACATATGAACCACTGTTAAATGAACCAGAAATAAAGCTATGCTCCTAATTTCTTTCTCTATTTGAAATCATCTAGGCTCCCAATTTCCACCATAATAAATCGAAGCTGCCCACCCATTGAGTCTCCAAAGTTCTTTCTGCCCCAACCTGACTGACTTGACTTGCAAAGAACGTATTGAATGTAACCCATAGAAGATTTGAAGCTGTTTACGTGAAGAACACAACAATCATCTAAACCATTCTAAGTAAACACTAACATCGAGTCACAAATCTGACTACTTCCTGGTGACGACACCAATGACAACACTATGATGTACCAGCCACTTTGCATCATTCTTCAGGAAAAAATATTTGTATTCAACCTGATTTTCATTTTATAAAAAACAGACACGGTGGAATGTTGGGTAACCTAAAGTTCGGTGGTTCAAATCCACCAGTTGCTCCTGTGGGGGGTGGGGGGGCGTGGTGGGCAGCAGCAGCACTGCCTGTTCCATAAAGTTTACAAAGGCTTGGGAGGAGTTTGGAGTTTTCTTTCAGAAGCTGACAAAAGAAATAGCTGTTTATACTTAACCCTATAAAGTCAGCCACACGAAGGACTGTACACCAGATGTTGTTGCTATGTCCCCAGATGTTTGTCAGGATCGTACTTAGATAAAGCTGGTCTTTTCAAGAATGCAAATCATGTATCTCCCTGTGTGTTGACATTGCTGCCCTAACTGGAGAGCAAACAGATAAAACCCCGACGTGTCCAACTTCCACATGCACACGAAGTGATTGTGGAGTCAAGTAGAATTAAATCCTTCAGTCCCTTGGTTGATAATTATGCTATTGTTCAAATTGTGAGGGTTTTTTTCTTTTCTTTAAATTAAGTTGTAAAATAAAATAAATTGAGTTGTACTCCATACTGAAGGCTGAAATCCTTGATCTTCATCAGCAAGTGTTTCAAACCTTCCCCACTTTCAGCAAGCCAGGCTGTGTCCTCTGTAAATCACAGATTGTCAAAAGCTTTCCTTCAATCTTAATGCCATGTTCTTATTCATATAGTTCAGTGTCTTGAATTATTCTCCCAGCAAATAGTTTGACTAAGTGTGGTGAACAAATACAACCAATGGTGGGGTTCAAATAATCTAACAACCGATTGGTGCCCTAATGACCATTTTAAGTATAAAAAAGATACACCCACCGAAAGGTAACTTATTATTTCATACAGTTAATACTTAAACAAGAACAATAAAAGAGGTATATAAAACTAGACTATAAGAAAGAGGTTTAAAATATTAATGAAAAATATTACATAATACCACCCGATTCTCAGAAGAAAGATAAATTTGTCTGCTTCTGTGAAGATTTACAATCTCGGAAACTCTATGGAGCAATTGTTCTTTGTCCTATACATTGGTTATGACATGGTATGAACTCGCTGGTGAATTTAGTTTGAATTATTGTTATCATTTTAGAGATATATGCAGAGAAGAACAAAAATGAAACATTCCAAAGACTACAAACATACCGATGAAGTTCTTGCAGTGTGACAATTCCTTCTTCCATGTTTCTGATGTCTACTCTTCTTTGCGCTAAAAAGTTATCTTTTTGAGTAATAAATTCCAGTTGTCTCTCATTTCTGTGTGGGAGGGTAGGAGACCACAGAGTTATCAGATCTCAAGTACTGACATCATTTTTAATTCCTCAGGATGCTGAGATATGTAATCACATATAAGAATTTTAAAAGTCGTTTGGAAAGCTCAGTTCAGTCACCTGCCCAAATAAATAAATATATAACAATGCTCCCCTAATGAGTGTTAAGTCTAAACTTATGCATAGAATTTTAATAAAATGTCTGAAGACTTCCAAACTATGGAAAGGATATTCAGTCCTAAACAGTCCCCACAAACAATAACAACAAAAAGAACAGTTTTAGTGTTCAATACCTCTGTGTGGGCAAGTTTTTCTAACACATTTATCCACCCCCTTAGGACCTTTAGGGGAAGTGATGAAATAAATTCAGTTGGCACAGTAGCCATCTCTCTTACGAGCAGTGTGACTTTGAATAAGAGACTACAGTTGTGGGTGTGCCTATAAAATGGGGCTTACAATAACTACATCTCATCTAGTTGTAAGTATTAAATCTGTGAAGTCATAGATAATTACTCATATGATTTAACATTTGGGTTAAAAGTGAGAAATCAAGAACTTCTAATAAAGGCAGCTGATTGAACTCAGGCTTAACCCTTCTCAGAAACTGAAAACTCATGATTAAGACAGTTGTGGGAAACACTATGGGGTCCATTGGGTAATGAAAGAGGATTTCTTTGAAGCATGTCTCCGTCTCTGGTTTAGGGGATTGTATCGATGACTAAACCTATCTCTCGGAAACCAGGTAAAGAGCCAGTTTCTTTTTTAATTTAATTTTTTAATTATTATATTTATTCTTTTATTTCTACATTAGAAATGAAAATAGATGGTGGGAAGCTGGAAAAGCATGTAGTTCATGAAGATTTGGGGGTAATGGAAGTATCCATGGTGGAAGGTTAAAAGTGGCTTAGCCTGCAAGGAGGACAAGAACCACACACACAAAGATCTTAAATGGTGGGTCATTGATGACATCCGTCTTGTGGGATTTACACACCAATGTGAAGTTTTAAAAGAAAGATGATGGACCAGAGTGTAGATGAGAAGACACCAGAAGATTCCTAAAATCTCTACAAACTCATAGCTTTACAAAATGAAGCCTATAAAACTAAGATAACATTCAAGCAATGTTGAAACTTGCTCCTAGAAAAACATCCTATTTTATGATGTTGGAATACATTCTTTCTCTGGTTGAATAATTTGAGGAGAGAGTTTTTTTTCCCTTCAGTATTAGTTTTCTTTAGTTTTGACTTGTCAAATTTCACTTAAGACCAATCTGGCTTATCACTCATCTTGCCTGAAGATAATCCACTAAAGGTGAACCCCCTTGAATTGCCACAAGATCTCACTCAGGATGAGGTTAGTCCGGAGCCAGTTTCTACGGAAAAATGAAAAGATCCGTTTCATACATATTTATCAACACCACATATGGAGAGAATATCTTGGTGCCAGGTACTCAGTCCCAGTTCAGGAATTGAGGAAGGGTACAATATGGTAGATGTGCAACTACAATTGTTAAGTGCTGTCCGGCCAGCGCCAACTCATAGTAAGCCTATATGTAACAGAACTCAACATTGCCTGCTCCCGCTCCATCCTTGCAATTGAGCCACTGCGTCAGCCACTGAATCAATCTTCTTAGCGGGTCTTCTTTTCTGTTGACCTTCTCCTTTATCAAGCAAGGACTGATCTCTCCTGCTCACATATCCAAAGTATAACAGACAAAGTCTCCCTAACCTCCAATCAAAGAAAGGAGCATTCTGGATATACTTCCGCACAAGACAGATTTATTCCTTCTTCGAAAAGTCCATGGAATTTTCCATGTTCTTCACCAACACCATAGTTCAAAAGCATTAACGTGGTTGTTAGGTGCATAGAGTCGGTTCTGATCTATAGGTCCCTTCCCTCTGCACAAAAGAACAAAACACTGCACAGTCCTGTGCAATCTTCACACTTGTCCCTGTGCTTGAGCCTATTGATAGAGCCATCCGGTCAATCTATCTCATTGAGGACCTTCCTCTTTGTCATCACCCTTCCACTTTACCAAACATGATGTCCTTTTCTAGGGACGGGTCTCTCCCAGCAACATGTCCACAGTACGTGAGATGAAGTCTTGCCATCTTTGCCTCTAAGGAGCACTCTGGTCTGACTTCTTCCAAGACAGTTGGCTCCTCCTTTCAGCAGTTTCAATATTCTCCAGCACCATATTTCAAGTGCATCTATTCTTCTATGGTCTTGCTTATTCATTGTCCGACTTTCACATGCATGTGATGCAATGAAGAATACCATGGCTTGGCCCAGGCGCACCTTAGTCCTCAAGGAAACATCCTTGCTCTTCAATAGTCTAAAGAGGTCTTGTGCAGCAGATTTACCTAATGCAATGTCTTGATTGCTTGTATTGCATGAGCAGAATGCAGATCCAAGCAAGATGAAATTCTTGACAACTTCAGTCTCTCTCCATTTATCATGATGTTACCTATTTGTCCAGTTATGAGGATTTTGGTCTTCTTTACATTGTGTTGTAATACATACTGAAGGCTACAATTCTTGATTTCCAATTCCTACTCACTTTCAGCAAGCAAGGTTGTGTCATCTGCATACTGAAGGTTGTTAAAAAGCCTTCCTCCAATACTGATATCACATTCTTCTTCATATAATCCAGCTTCACTGATTATTTGCTCTGCATACAGATTGAACAAGTATGGTGAGAGGATACAACCCTGATGCACACCTTTCCTGATTTTAAACCATTCAGTATGTCCTAGTTCTGTTCACACAACTCCCTCTTGATCCATGTACAAGTTCCACATGAACACAATGAAGGTTCTGGAATTCCCATTCTTCTCAAAGTTATCCACAGTATATTAAGGTCCATGCAATTAAATGCCTTTGCATAGTCAATGAAACACAAGTAAACATCGTTCTTGCATTCTCTCCTTTCAGCCAAGATCCATCTGACATCAGCAATGATATCCCTTGTTCTGTGACCTCTTTTGAATCTTGCCTGAACTTCTGGCAGTTCCCTGTCAAGGTACTGCTACAACCATTGTTGGATGATCTTAAGCAAAATTTTACTTGCATATGGTATTGATATTGTTCTGTAATTTGAGCATTCTGTTGGGTCACCTTTCTTTGGAATGGGCACAAATATGGATCTCTTCCAGTCAATTGGCCAAATAGCTGTCTTCCAAATTTCCAGGCATAGTCCAATGAGTGCTCCCAGTGCTTCTTCAGCTTGTTGAAATATTTCCATGGGTATCCCATCAATTCCTGGAGCCTTGTTTTTGGCTAATGATTCAGTGCCATTTGAACTTCTTCCTTCAGCACCATTGGTTCTTGCTCATATGCCACCTCCTGAAATGGTGGAATGTCCACTAGTCCTTTTCCATACAGTAACTCTTTTTGGTACCATGCTCTGCATTCTTTCCATCTTCTCTTGATGCTTCCTACAGCATTCGCTATTGTGCCTACAGAATCTTTCAAGATTGCAACTCAAGGCTTGAATTTTTTCTTGAGTTCTTTCAGTTTCAAATATGCCAAGTGTGTCCTTCCCTTTTGTTTTTCGAATTCTAGGTTCATGCGCATTTTTATTATAATATTTGGCTTTATCTTCCTGAGCTGCCCTTTGAAAATTTCTATTCAGCTCCTTGACATCATCCTTTTTTCTATTTGCTTTAACTACTAAATTAAAAGGACGTTTCAGAGTCTTTTCTAACATCCACTCGGATCCTTACTTTCTTGCCTGGCTTTTGAATGACCTTCTGCTTTCTTCATGGATGATGGTCTTGATTCCTCCCCTAGCTCATCAGGTCTTCTGCCATTAGTGTTCAATGCATCAAATCTATTCTTGTGGAAGAGGTTTGGAAATTCAAGTGGGATAGACTCACGGTAGTATTTTGGCTCTTGTGAATGTGCTTTACTTTTCTTCAGTTTGCTCCTGAATCCCTTAATGGTTTCCCAGTTGTCTTCCTTCACTGTCCAACTTTCCCAGGCATACAAGGTAGTTGAAGAGACCATAGCTTGGGACAGGCTAATCTTAGACCTCAGGGTGACATCTTTGTTCTGCAACATTTTAAACAGATCGTGTGTGGCAGGGTTGCTCACTGCAATATCATGTTTGATATTTTAACTGCTACTTCCATGGGCATTAATTATGGATCCAATTCAAGTGAAATATTTGGTAACGTCAATCTTTTCTGCTTATCCTAATGCTGTTTATTGGCTCATTTGTGAGGATTTTTGTTTTCTTTACATTGAGATGTCATCTGTTCTGTCTTTGATTAAAGTTCATGCTTTATATGTAAGGAAAATTTTAACTTCTCTACAAACCCACGTGAGCACCTCATTCAGCATAGAGAACGTTAAGGGACGACCTCTTGGAGATATCCGTGGAACATCTGTGTTAGTTCTCTATTGTTACATGACAAATTTGAGTGGCTTAAAACAACACTCATTGATTATTTCACAGTTTCCAGGAGTCCTAAGTCTAGGTACAGCATGGCTTAATTGGGGTCTCTCCTTAAGAGTTCACAAGGCCAAAATCAACGTGTAACCTGGCTGTGATTGCCATCTGGGCATCAGAGTCCCCTTCCCAGCTTGCTCAGCGTTGGCACAATTACTTTTCTTCTGACACTTTTCATGTTGCTCCTACCATTTCCAAGCCAGTAAAAGGAGTCAACGCTTTCTCAAACTTTCAGTCCTTCCCATTTCCCTTTCTCTTCTCCTCTGCTCCCAGCTGGAGAAAGCGACATGCTTTTAAATTCCCTTGTGATAAGATATGTTAGTACATTCACAGGTTACAGAATTCAGATGTCATGTCTTTTTAGTTATTTTTATTGATGGGGAGTGTGGTAATTATATAATCTGGTGTCAATTTGAGGATTCAGAGTGAAGGGGTGGAGTTTAGCCTGTCAACCAGTTCGCAGCTTGATGACCTCATTTCGAGGCACTAAGGAGATAAATAGCTTGTTGGAGGCGGGACACATGCTCACTCCCTGCCAGACATCCTGTGGAGAAGACACATGGAGAGAGGCTGATGGAGCCAGACCTCTGGAGCCGGAGAAGCCATGTGGAGACCCCTGCCAGCGCCGAGATGCTTACAACACCACTGGAAACACAAGACTTCCAACCCACTGGCCTGTGATCTTCCTGCATTCAGCATCATTACATGTGTGTCGTGAGTCTCAAGAGGACTTTATAGATTGGTATCGTACATATGGGCTAATATCAGACTTAGGGACTTGATCTGCACTGGGCTGGGATGTTTTTTCAATATTCAACTGCTCTTGTATATAAACCTCTCTCCTATTCACATATGAGTCTCCCTGGATTTGTTTCTCTAGTCTACCAGGACTAACACACCCAGGGAACAGGCTTTACCAAGACGTGGGAGAAGGGATTTGGAGTGGTGGTTGCTGCCTAGGGTCGACAAACCTGGCCAGCAAGTAGCTAAGGCCTATACAGAAGCCAAGGAAAAGAAGCAGAGGCCTACTTGGGGCCTTGCCCCTCATAGGGGAGTTTTCATTTTCTTTTTGAAACATAAAATTATTCAGAGTCCATAAAAAAAATAAAAAGGCCTTGCATTTTGCTAGTAGAGAGCCATGATGATTTGAGATTTCACGAAGACCCTTGGCCAGAGGCAAAGAGACCAGTCTGAGAAGACAGGTTTCCATTGGTAGGAAGCAGTGACCAGTATGGTGCAATACAAATCCCCAAACTCACTGCCATGGCGGCGATTTTCAGTGGTTGCTGCTTCAGAAGTAGATGGCAAGCCCTTTGTTCTCAGGCACTTCTGAGTGGACCCAAGCTTTCAACCTTTGGGCCAGTAGCCTGAAGGGAAACCCCTTTGCACCTTTGGAGGGACTTGGTCCGTCCTTCTAGTGCACACTATTGTCTACTTCTAAAGAAACAGCCACCGAAGGGAAGCTCTGTCCAGAACACACAGGGTCACCATGTGTCGGACTCAACTGGAGGCAAACATTTTTTTTCAAGTTTGATAGTGATGATAGGAAAAAGGTAAGTTAACAAGAATTGTGCTATGAGACTGTAATAAAAAGTCTTGCTAAGATATAATCTAAGACTACAAGCTTTAAAAAGTTTGTGGGAAATTCCGTGACCTCTAATTCAATTTTTTTCCCACAAACTTTTTTAAGCCTCTTTGTATAACATTTCTTATAAAAATCAGGAAAAAATAATCAGGACAAATTATTAGAATCTTACACTTGAGGTTTAAATTTGAAGACAAAATAATTCAAACCCAAGGGTTCTTATATATCTTAAGATATAGGGAAACATCAGTAGAGTGTAAAGGACAGACTCCTCTCATGGTAAAAAGCTTAAAGAGAGTGGAATCACAGAGACTCCAAGGAGGAATGTCTATTAAGTAAATTTTGAAGGTCACAATTCAACCCATAACAAATAGATCAAATGGATGAATGTTAATTATTTTTAATCTGTTGTTGTAAGAACTTCAAATACTTTACAACATAGTAGAATCCATCATATGAAATACATCTGGTGAATAATACTTTTCATTATTGTTCAAATCTGATTTTCCTTACTCTGGCCAAATTTTCCTTACTTCACTCAAATTCATCTGGAACTGGTAGAGATTATATGATAAAAGTAAAAAGTATAGTTAGTCTTTCAAGAGTCTGATTTAGAAGCAAAAATGATGCACTTGGAAGGCTATGGGTGACAGTGAACGTTCTAAATCCAGAGACGCCATGAGGAATAAGCCTCCATTGACTGAAAACCCTCAGACCATTGTCCATGGAGGTTAAAAGTCCTACCCACAGATAGAGTACATCAGAAAGTGAAGTAATGCAGATATAGTTAGCTTAAAATTTAACATCTTTTCCTTTGTTTTCCCTATAAACTCATTCTTAATCTGTTATATATTTTTTCTTATTTTTTTCTTTCTCTTGGATTAAAAAAAACAGTAACCAATGTCATTGAAAAGGTTATGTAGAAATTATTAAATAAAAGCCTAATTTACTGTGTAAACTTTCACTTAAGACACAATAAAATTTCATTTAAAATGATGCAGTTGGTTATGTTAGTCCGGGTAGACTATGGAAACAAATCCATAGACACTCACATGTGCATAAGAAAGAGCTTTATATACAAGAGCAGTTGAATATTGAGAAAGCATCCCAGCCCAGTCCAGATCAAATCCATAAGTTCAATATTAGCCTATATGTCCAATACCAAATCCATAAAGTCCTCTTCAGACTCAAGAAACACATGCAGTGATGCTGAATGCAGGAAGATCACAGCCAGTGGGTGGGAAGTCTTGTGTTTCCAGTGGCAGTGTAAGCATCTCAGTGCTGGCAGGAGTCTCCACGTGGCTTCTCCGGCTCCAGAGGTCTGGCTCATCAGTCTTGTGGATCTTTCGGGGTTGTAAGCAGCTCAGCGCTGGCAAGGGTCCCCACACGGCTTCTCCAGCTCATGGCACTAGTATAGTTCCATGTGTCTTGTCAACTGCAATGTCTCTCAGGGAATGAGCTGAGAGAGTGTCTTTTGCCTCCAAGGAGGAAATCCAGGAGTTCCCAGAATTCTCAGAAGGCCATGCCCACACAGAGGCCTCATTGGCCATGACCTGATTGACAGACTAGACTCCACCCCTTTACTTTTAATCCTTTCAAGTCCCAAATTGACACCAGATTATGTAACTACCACATTGGTAATTATAGATTTGATCTGATTCAGATTTAGTACTATTTACCTAAAGAGGCAAATGTGTTTGCATTTACTGACTGTTGGTAGAAGAATAACTTATTGTCGGAGAATCTGAATAATAAGGAAAGCACACACACCCATGTTGATTTACATACGTGTGTATGGATCATGGATGGAAACATACTCATCCTGGATCTTTCGTTTCCTGTAAAGAATTTCATCCTCCTCATTTAAGACCAGCTGATATTGTCTGGCAAGAGTAACTAGTTTGTCTTGTAGCTCTTTATTCTCTCCACGAGTTTTGTGCAGATTTTCAGCCACCTAAAAAGATCAACAAGAATACTGAGTAAGAGGACTTGATCCCCAAATCCTTTGAGCAAAGTCAGTGTCAGTTGGCAACTCTCTGTATCACGAGTATGTTGCTAAGAACACAGTTATGACAACAATGTGGAAAAGTAGTAACACCCACTGAATGATAATCCAAATTACAATAAGAAAGCAGATTAATAAGCCGTAATATATTCAACAAGATCTGTCTGAGCTTTCCCTAGAAAATAAAGTCAACTGGGGGGAAAATATAATATCAACAGAAACTCTTGCTCAAAGTTTCGTTAACTAGATGCTATGATTGCTTCATGCTAAGTATTTCAATTTAGGGACAAAAACCATATTAATCAGGGTTCTAAATGAGAGAAGACATTTGTGCTTGTATCCCTCCACTGCATTGATTCAGATTAGATAAGCAAATTGGCTTTAGCTGGAAACCTAAAATTAGGTGGGCTGGGTAATTCTACATAGTCTTCTAGATATAAGACCATGAAAATAGCTGGATGTTAAAAAAATCTTATTAAAAGTTGAAGAACTAACAAGATAATGAGGAACTACTAGGCCTCATTCTAAAGCAAGAACCCAAAGTGGAAAATCTAGCCCTCAAAATCTCTTTTGCCTTGAGGATCTATGTCAATGTGGCTGGGAATTGGTAACAATTAAGAGTACCAAAACAGATTTGAAAAGGTATTGAATAAAATTACCAATTAAAATATAAAGTAACTTAAAGAAATTGGAGCTTATTAAATTAGTTAGTAAATTAAATCCCTCAGAAGACACTATTAATAGAGCGAAAAGCCCAAGCACAGTGTGGGATAGACATGTACATAAATATTATGTCTTTAGAGTTTATGTACTGTTCTGTAGTTGAGTAGTATTTCACAATAAAAAGGTGGGTTATTTGTTTTGTTTTTAACTAGAATGGAATTTAATGTCACCACTGAAATCTCCCAGGGCCTCATGAGGATATGACTGGATGTGAACAAGAGTTGACAGAATCGGCTCTGTCAGACATAAGAAATGAGCTCATACCCTGCATCTTTGAAGTGGTCATCACTGAAAGGCACTCATGGAGCTTGGCTAAGGGTTGCTGGTTGATCAAGTCAGCCAAGCAGGTTTAGGGTGCCTGAGCTGGTGAGACAGTCAAGGGGCTGAGAACTTTGGAGCTGTCAACTGCAGGCTGCCAAACAGCCCCTATGAGAGGGAAAATGAAAAACAAACAGAAAATTGACCAGACAATGAAAGATAATTTAAAACCAACCAACCAATCTTGTTAAGTTTATGATCTTTGGTACACTGTGCCTTCTATTTCCTTGCAACGAAAGAATCAGAGTAGACTTAGCCCATAGAGAAAGCCATTCCTAATGCTGTAAGAGCAGATGACAATGACAATAACAACAAAATAGAAAGATGTAATTGATGCAAGTCATTATCTGGGAGATAACTCCCTTTCTTGGTCCTGTGGATCCTCAGGGTTGGCTGCAGGCCTCAGAGGAAGGGAGAGGCTATGCTTCATAAGAGAGAGAGGAGATGGGATGTTGGGTGATAATGTTTCTCTGAGCAAAAAGATGGATGAAGATGGAGTAAGGGAAGATGTTTAGCAAGGTGGTTGTGGCATGACAATGGGATTCCTCCACACGACCACCCAAATTTCCAGAAAAGTTTACAATAGATATGAAAATCATAATATGGTGAAATTTCTCTTAGAAACCAGCGAAAGTTATGGTACTACACCCTGGTTGAATTGGGGGGTGGGCTGGGGGAGAAACAGAAATTAAGCAAGACACTAAAAGGTACCTAATACTATAAGTCAAGCATCTTGATATTTAGTGTTTCTAGCTGAAGGAAGTTCATGAATAAAAGCAGAACCTTCTATTTACCTAAGGGCTGCTTTTGAAGGTTTGTTCCCTCAAGATACAAGAGGAGAAGACAATACGTCACTTGTCTGTCAGTTTGTCGTACTGTGGTGGTTTGTGTGTTGCTCTGATGCTATGTCACTGGTATTTCAAATGCCAGTAGGGTCGCCAAAAGTGAACAGGTTCTACCCAGAAGAGCTTCCAGACTAAAACGAGACTGCAAAGAAGGAACAGGCTGCCTGCTTCAGAGGAATTAGCCCCTTACACATGGCATCAAGACAGTGTCAGACACTACAGACCTAATGAATAGAAGCAGAACATTGCTAGAGATCATACCAGAAGAGGAACCCCTCAGGCTGAAAAACATTCAAAATGTGACGGAGGAAGTGCTACCTCCTCAACAGAACGTCGCCTGTAAGGACGTGAATGGAGACAAGTCGGTGGGAGTAAAGCCTTTGGGACCTTGCTTCACTTGCTGATGGGACACGACTCAAAAGGAGAAGAAACAGCTGCTCTAAATCGGCACTGGGAATGTACAAAGTAGGAATCTAGGAAAATGTAAGGTTGTTAAAAATGAAATGGGATGCATGAACGTCAATATCCTGGTTCAAGAGCAGCATGCGTCCTGGGCTCCCCTGAAGCAGCATGAGTCAAGAGGAGCCTTAAGCTTAGTAACTGACTCGTGGACTTGAAACTGAATTGAACTTACTCAATTCTACAACTGGAGGAGTCATTTTCCTCATGTAAATTTCTCTCTATATCATATATATTTGTATATGTGTGTGTGACTGGTTTTACTTCTCAAGAAAGCCCATCCTAACACAACAATGCTGATGTTTCTCCTTTTGTTGTTCTAATGGTAGTTTCCCTCCCCGGAGATTGTTCACCATTATAAGGAATGCTTCACTGAATATCTTGTGGTTAAATTTTGGGTTACATCTATGTTTATGGTAAGATTATTCTTGTAACTTAGTCAAAAAAATGTTTAGGAAATCATCCTGGGGGCTAAATGGGACTCACATACTTCACTAACATTATTAAGAACAGACCAGGTTTCTGTACTTCATAGAAACCATACAGCAGCAAAAAGGTCCTAATTTCTGTAAGTATTTGACATATAAAATGCCCATTAGTCATAGTTTTATACCCAATATAAAACTATCATATCCATGTGAAAAATTATTTTCAAAATTCATCTTGATGACATTTGTTCTTTCATATGCTTAAAGTCTTTTGAGAATAAATGGAAATTTAAGTCAATTACTGCAAATGGCCATTATCTTCGCTGCCATTGAGTTGATTCTGACCCATAGCGATCCTGTATGGGGTTTCTGAAGCTGTGAATACATATGGGAGCAGATAACCTCATTTTTCTCCCCTAGAGCAACCGGTGGATCTGAACCACCAACCTGTGGTTAGCAGTCCAATACTTACCCAACAGCATTGCCTACTTTTGAAAAATGCAACACTTCTCAGCTATATTTAAAATATTCATTTAAAAATACAATCTAGTTTTAGGCTAAAAGTCCTCATGTCTCTCTTCCTACCTGTTTGATCTTGTGCAGGAATTCCTCTTTTTCAACAGTAGATACACTATCCAGTTTTTCCTTATGACCATCAAAAAATCTTCTATAATAAGAGAAGCAAAACAGATTCATATTAAGACTTTTTTTCTACCCAAACAAAATTTTATTACAACACCAGAAGTTTGTAGTCTCTATCTTCTCAAGTAACCTATTTATTTATTTATATTTTCTGGTGGAAAAAAAAAAAAGTTTTCACTCTTTTGATTTGATGAGTAAGTACTTCATTTATTAATTTCAACTACTGAGTAAATATTTCCTGACAGATACTATCTATGCACTAGCAATACAGGGCAAACAAATTCCTTGCGCTCATGAAAATTATGTACTGGTGGGGAGTCAAAATATAAATAAGATGTTAGAAAATACATAATATCTTTCAGATAGTGTTAAATGCTACAGAGGACATAAAGCAGGACAAGGGATTAAGAGCTACTGGCAGCCAGGGTTCTATGTTAGACTGTGGTTTAGGGAAGACTCGCAAGCAGCCCTGAATGATGAGGAGTCAGCTAGGTGAAGATCTAGGTGAAGAACTTCTCAAGGAGAATGCACAACAGGTGGTGAGACCTTCAGATACGGAACGAGCTTTGATCATTTGAGAAAGGAGAGTTTGATGAAGCTGGATGGGGAAGCAGGGAAGAAGTCATGCAAGGTCCTGAGAGCAAAGTTCAGAATTCAGATCGTACTGTGATGGGCAGTAGTGCAAGATGCTGAAGCAGAGGAGTGGCAAGAGAAGTGCTTCGCACCTTACCTACTACTGTGTGGAAACAGAGAGTAGTGATGAAGGCAGAGCCTGTGTAAGGTGATGGAGGTGGTCCAGAAGATATAGCGGGGACCTTGAGCTAAGGTTCTAGTGGTGGACACTAGTGGTGGTTTGAAACAGTCACGTTCAGAATGTATTTTGAAAAGGAGATCAGCAAGATTTACCTTTGGATTAGGTTGGAGTTAGAGCTGGGTTAGGAAATGAGGAAGACAGAAATGGTAGATGATTCCTAGGCTTTTGGCTTGAGTAGTTAGAGGAAGTGACTGTTATATACAGGCTTGCTATATTGTTGTTGTTGTTGTTGTTAGGTGCCATCAAGTCAGTTCTGGCCTATAGTGGCCTTATGCACAACAGGGCAACACACTGCCTGGTTCTGTGCCATCCTCACAATAGTTCCTATGTTTGAGCCCCTTGAGGAGTCTCAGTGTTGATCCATCTCCTTTGACGGCCTTCCTGTCCTTCGCTGCCCCTCCACTTTACCAAACACGTTGTCTGTCTCCAGACACTAGTCTCTCCTGCCAGTACATCCAAAGTCTGTAAGACAGCGTCTCGCCAGCTATGCCTTCAAGGAGCACTCTGGCCTTACTTCTGAGAGGGCTTTGCTTGTTCTGATGGCAGTCCATGGGCTTTCAGTCTTCTCCAGCACCACAGTCCAAATGCACCGATTCTTCTTCGGTCTTCTTTAGTCACTGTACAACTTTCACATGCAGATGAGCCAATGGAAAACACCCGGCTGTGGCTTAGGCACATCTTAATCAACGTAACATCCTTGCTTTGCAATAGTCTAAAGAGGTCTTGTGTAGCAGATTTACCCAATGCAACCCATCTTTTGACATGCAAGGGATTAAAAAAAGGCTTACTATCAGTAGGAACTAAGTCAGTGGCACATACAACGATAATTACATAACGAGGGGAGCCACACTGGCTGAGGGAGGGATGACTGAGAAGAAAAAGGATGTGCTAAATTTGAGATATCTATTGCATATCTTCCAAATGGAGAGATCCAGTGGACTGTAGGAAATACTCCTATGAGCAGTTCTACCCTGTCCAATGGATAGGGTTGCTTTGAGTTGCCATCGAGTTGATGGCGAAGAGGTTGTTTGTTTGTTTTATACACACACACACACACACACACACACACACACACACGAGCTGGATTCATACATTTGGGAGGATGGGATGTACAAATAGTATTTAAGTCATTAGCCACACGTGTCAATAGAGAATACTGAAGTACTTTTATTACGGCAAAGCGATGTCCCGTCAGTTGGGACTCACAGGGACCCTATGTATACCAGAATGAACCTGTGCCCAGTGTGTTTCTTCTTAGAATTGTCGCTACATATGTTTGTGCACACTGTTGCAGTCACTGGATCAATCCATCTTGTCAAAGGTCTTCCTCTTTTTTTCTTCCCCTCTATTTTACCCAACATGATGTTCCTCTCCATGAACTTCTCCTTCTTGATAATATGTCCAAAGTTGAAGCCTTGCCATCCTTGCTTCCATGGCGAAATCTGGCTGTACTTCTTCCAAGACACCATTTGTCCGTTATTCTGGCAGTCTATGGCACATTCAACCATCTTCACCAACACCATAATTCAAAAGCATCAATTCTTCGACGGTCTTTTAAAATTGTCCAGTTTTTACGTGCTTATGGGGCAATTGACAACACCATGACACTTTAATTATCAAAGAGACATCTTTGCTTTTTAACTTGTAAGTGGTCTTTTGAAGCACATTTACCCAATGCAATGTATTGTTTGATTTCTTGACTGCTTCTTCCATTGACATGGACTGTTAATCCAAGTAAAACATAAAACTTTAGCCTTATCTCTGCTTGTCATGAGGTTACTTTCTCGGTTGTGGAAATTGTTGCTTTCTTGATGTTGAGACACATTCTGTGCCGACGGTTGTCGTCATTGACCTTCATCACTAAAGGCGTCTAGCCCTCTTTGCTTTCAGCAAGCAAGGCGGTGCCATCTGCATATCACAGGTTGTTAAAACGTCTTCCACCAATCCTGATGCTGTATTCTTCATCTAGTCCAGCTTCTCAGATTATTTGGTTATTTGCACAAATAAAGATTGAATAAGTATAATGAGAGGATACAACCTTGACATATACCTTCTACAATTTTAAACCATGTGGTACATCCACCCCTCTCTCATTAGCAAGGCTAAGCTCCAAGACCAGACCATTTGTGCCAATCCCACATAAGCATAACTGGGAGTTCTGGGATTCCCATTCTTCACAACGTTATATCCCAAAATTGCTATCACGCCCACAGTGGAATGCCCATGTTAGTCAGCAGAACACAGATACATATTCTTTCTCATAGTCTCTGCTTTCAGCCAAGATCATGCATCTGACATCAGCAATGATGCCCCTTGTTCCATGTCCTCCTCTGAATCTGGCTTGAATTCCTGGCAGTTCCTTGTCAATGTACAGCTACATCTGTTTTTGAATGCTCAATTTTGCTTGCATGTGATATGAATATATTGTTCAATCATTTCCTCTTTCTGTTGGATCACCTTTCCTTGGTGAAGGGTCGAGAAGACCAACATTTAATACTCACAAAGAAAAACTGAGACAGATAGAGATTCCTGAGAAAGAACAAGCAGTTTCATAGGTGAAGTAATAAGAGCAGAATGCAGTGTTTGAGAAGCCAGGTGGAAAAAAGTATTTCCAAAAGGCAGGGGTGGTTAACTCTCTCAAGCTAGATTATGAGTTCCAGAATTTTAAGGCATAGAGTATACCACCAAAGTTTGGAAGGAGGGAGGTCATGGGGAACTTTGATAACGACTACAACGCAGGGCTGATGGATCGGAGCCACGTTCATCCCTGTCCCATCGCTGTATTTCCCCATTCGCAGACAAATGGCGGGGGACCAGAAGTTGACATGAGGATGCTATATTTCAAATGGCCCCTTCTCTTTTCCCCAAATGGCTATGTAATCCCTGATTTTTTCCCCCTTTGATCATCCAAAAGGAACAAAAATCAAACTCGTTGCCAGCAAATTGGCTCTGCCTCATAGTGACCCTATAGGCTAGCGTAGAACGTCTCTCAAAGGATCTCAAGGCTGCAATCTTTAGGAAAGCAGGCTGCTCCGTCTTTCTCCTGATGAGCAGCTGCTGAGTTCAAACCACTGGCCTTTCCGTTTTTTCCAAGGAGCTAAGAAAGACAGATACATTTTAAAAGGAAAGGTGATGAGATACTGATTTAGTAAATTAAGAGCATATATTCACCTGCTACTAAAGAAAGATTTTTTAAAAGAACACGCTCATAATAACATCTGCTATTCATCACTGAAAATTAAGCATCATGCTTACATTTTATCCTCTAGGGTCTTAGAGATATTTTGTAATTCTCTGACTTTTTCTTCCCAGTCCTTTATTGATCCTTGTAGCTGTGCTATCTCTATATTGTGATCACTGGAAACCTATTGAAAAATTTAAAAAATAAATGAGCATCTGACATCCAATAAGCACCAAGTGATTTTTGACAGCCATTCAATTCCATTGAACATTTATGTAGCATTCAAATTTTACACTGGGATATTTCTTTGTGGGAAAAGTTTGTGACTGTTTATTTTTAAAACAAGCATAAATAGATTCAGAAATAATTTTGAAATCATGTTATATTAGAGAGGAACCATTAGGGCATTGTGAATCTGCAAAGTAGAACAGAGCCTCCAAACACAAAAACTCATGTCATGATCGATTGGCTTTACAAGTTGATGAGTCTAAAGCAATCTAGAGGTTCAATGCAATACCCACCATCATGCCAACAGCTTTCTTTTTCTAAGTAGAAAAATTAATCCTCAAATTTGTATGAAACTGTAAAGGGCCCTAGGTAACCAAAGCAAACTTGAAAAAGGACAGAGTAGGGAGACTCACGCTTCCCTATCTCCAGACATAATAGGAAACTACAGTCACCAAAACAGCTGTGGACTCCTATAACAATGGACACATGTGGACTCCTGTAACAGTGGACACATGTGGACTCCTGTAACA